CATATTTTTTGCCTTCTAATCTTTGCTAGCCTCTGGGAAGGAGAAGATCCTGTGATCCTTGAAACACATGGAGCTGGTGGAGGAAAAAAAAGGGACAGCGGTATTTAAAAAGACACATTTTATAGAACAATGGGTACACTCTTTCACGGTAAACCTTGCTGTTAACATTACATACATAGCACTCTGCTTTCGTTACAAGGTCACATTCTGCCTCCCCTCACCATGTGGCTAACCCCTCCCCCCTCCCCGTGGCTAACAGCGGGGAACATTTCTGTTCAGCCACAGGCAAAGAGCCCAGCAGGAACGGCTGCCTCTGAATGCCCCCTTAAGAAAAGCACCCTATTTCAACCAGGTGACCATGAATGATATCACTTTCCTGAGGATAACACAGAGAGATAAAGAATGGATGTTGTTTGAACGCCAGCAAACATACACTGCAATGCTTTGTTCTGCAATGATTTCTGACTATGTGCTACTGGCCTGGCGTGGTAAAGTGTCCTACCATGGTGGACGGAATAAGGCTGCCCTCCCCAGAAACCTTTTGCAAGTACATCCAGGAGAGCTTTATGAAGATGTCCCTGGAGGATTTCCGCTCCATCCCCAGACACGTTAACAGACTTTTCCAGGAGCTGTACTGGCTGCGAATGCCAGGGCAAATTAATCATTAAACATGCTTGCTTTTAAACTATGTATACTATTTAAAAAGGTACACTCACCAGAGGTCCCTTCTCCACCTGGCAGGTCCAGGAGGCAGCCTTGGGTGGGTACGGGGGGGTACTGGCTCCAGGTCCAGCGTGAGAAACAGTTCCTGGCTGTCGGGAAAACTGGTTTCTCCACTTGCTTGCTGTGAGCTATCTACAACCTCATCATCATCATCTTCCTCATCCCCAAAACCTGCTTCCGTGTTGCCTCCATCTCCATTGAAGGAGTCAAACAACACGGTTGGGGTAGTGGTGGCTGAACCCCCTAAAATGGCATGCAGCTCATCATAGAAGCGGCATGTTTTGGGCTCTGACCTGGAGCAGCCGTTTGCCTCTCTGGTTTTCTGGTAGGCTTGCCTCAGCTCCTTAAGTTTCATGCGGCACTGCTTCGGGTCCCTGTTATGGCCTCTGTCCTTCATGCCCTGGGAAATTTTGACAAATGTTTTGGCATTTCAAAAACTGGAACGGAGTTCTGGTAGCATGGATTCCTCTCCCCATACAGTGATCAGATCCCATACCTCCCATTTGGTCCATGCTGGAGCTTTTTTGCAATTCTGGGACTCCATCATGGTCACCTCTGCTGATGAGCTCCGCACTCACCTGCAGCTCGCCACAGGAAATTGAAATTCAAAAGTTTGCGGGCCTTTTCCTGTCTACCTGGCCAATGCATCTGAGTTGAGAGTGCTGTCCAGAGCGGTCACAATGGAGCACTCTGGGATAGCTCCCGGAGGCCAATACCGTCTAATTGCATCTACAGTACCCCAGATTTGACCGGGCAAGGCTGATTTCAGTGCTAATCCCCTTGTTGGGGGTGGAGTAAGGAAATTTATTTTAAGAGCCCTTTAAGTTGAAAAAAAGGGCTTTGTCGTGTGGAGGGGTGCAGGGTTAAATCAATTTAACGCTGCTAAATTTGACCTCAACTCCTAGTGAAGACCAGGGCTAAGTCTGCTTTGATTCCCTGGCTGTGAAAAATGATATTGAGAAATGTCAGTTTTCACCTTGCCACCCTTACTTCTGTGCTGCTGCTGGTGCAGTGCTGCCTTCAGAGCTGGGCACCCGGCCAGCAGCCGCTGCTCTCCATTCTGCCTTCAGAGCTGGGGGCGGTGTATGTACTTGGGAGGGGCGCAAAAACAACTACAGACACAAAGAAGGGGGGCACAATCAAATAAGTTTGAGAATCACTGGACTAAATAAATATGATGGCCCTTTCTGACTTTCAAATCTATGAACCCCAAGGCAGCAGTCATTATCTGTGGTGCTGGGTTACTGCTAATAAAGCTCTGTTCTATGTCAGTGCTAGAGTGGGTCAAAACATGGGAACAATTGTTCAGGAATATTTTTGCCAAAAAAGCTGCCATTTTTTTACCATCAAAATCTGAACTTTCAATAAAAATTGTTATCCACATTTCAGAATTCAGGGACAGGGCAGAATTCAGGGACCTGATTTAACATATCAGAGGCAGCACTGGGGAAGGAGTAAACAACTCTGTTCCCCTTTCAAAATATGCCTTGAAACCTGGCCTCTCTCTGCTTCACCGGACAAGGGGGCTGCAGGCTGTAGGTGGATGGAGTGGTCTCAGATTGTCTTCTCCCTCCAGGGGAAGCTACAGGGTGGTAAACACCCTCTTGCTAAGCAGAAGGTCATTTTACAGTTGCCTGCCATGGTCAAAGCGGAGCAGTGGGTGTTTCCTCATTCCCAGTTTACACTTGTGCTTTAGTCTTCAAGACATGAATCCATAAGGCCACCTTTGAAATTCCCTGGCTTTTGCAGGATCCCTGGGATCTGGTCTCCTAGCCCCCAGAGCAGGTGGCTGTATATACTGGTGTCCTTGGAGCAGAGCACTCTGAAGCAGCATTAGTATTATCACTTATAAAATAATGACAGGTTACAGAGTAGCAGCCATGTTAGTGTGTATTCGCGAAAAGAAAAGAGGACTTGTGGCACCTTAGAGACTAACCGATTTATTTGAGCATAAGCTTTCGTGAGCTACAGCTCACTTCATCGGATGCATCCGATGATGTGAGCTGTAGCTCATGAAAACTTATGCTCAAATAAATTGGTTAGTCTCTAAGGTGCCACAAGTACTCCTTTTCTTTTTAATAAAATAATGGAACAGATGGTGGGGCAGGGGGCTGCAAACACCAAGAGGTTAATGGAAGTAGCACTGAGGGCTTGTAAAGAAGATGTCACATCAGGAGAACTTGCTCAGCTTTTTTAATTGAATAATATACAACAGATGGCTGAAGGGAAGGCAGTCAAAATAAATTATTTGGGGCCCAGTGATAGTGGCAGATATGCACGAAGTAATAGTGTGAAGGGGCTGGAAGGAGGTTCTATGTGGGCCCATTGACTGATCTTTTCTCATTGGTCATCAGAGCCTGAACCTGTTGACCTTCGATTCACATGTTACAGATCCCAGCCTCCCAGAGGGAGTGCGGAAGTGGCTAGTTGGGTGGGTCTGGACCGTACAGCCGTGAAGAGATTTGGAAGTGTTTGATAAGGGGGGATATTGCTGCTAATTGTTTTCATTTATTTTTAACCATGTGTGCAGAAAGCACAGGACGGGCAGGGTGTCATAAAACAAACACCATAGATCTTTAGCTTGATGATCTCAAACAAGATCTTACCGACCACGTGCATTCATTGACCAGCTGGGACTTCTGCTCTCATGCCAAAGCCTGTTCATTTCATTGTTAACTCATCATCATGATTACATTGTTAACTCACCATTCAAGAGGGAAGTTGATAAATTGGAAGGGGTTCAGAGAAGAGCCACGAGAATGATTAAAGGATTAGAAAGCCTGCCTTATAGTAACAGACTCAAGGGGGACATCTACACAGCAATTAAACACCCACAGCTGGCCTGGGTGAGCTGACTTGGACTCACAGGGCTCAGGCTATGGGGCTGTTTAATTGTGGTGTAGATGTTTGGGCTTGGACCAGAGCCTGAACTTTGAGACCCAGCAAGGGAGGAGGGACCCAGTGCCAGGGCTACAGCCCGAGCCTGCATTCTTACACTGCAATTTTTAGCCCCACAACCCGAGCCAACTGACTCGGGCCAGCCGCAGACCATGCCACAGGTCTTTTATTTACCCAAAGAACTCAATCTATTTAGCTTAACAAAGAGCAGGCTACCGGATGACTTGATTACAGTTTGTAAATATCTACATGGGGAACAAATATTTAATAAGGGACTCTTCAATGTAGCAGAGGAAGGTCTAACACAATCCAATGGCTGGAAGTTGAAGCTAGACAGATTCAGACTGGAAATAAGGTGTAAATGTTTAACAGGGAGGGTAATTAACCATTGGAACAATTTTCCAAAGGTTGTGGTGGATTTGCCATCACTGCCAATTTTAAAGTCAAGACTAGATGTTTTTCTGAAAGACCTGCTCTGGGAATTATTCTGGCAAAGTTCTGAGGCCTGTGTCAGACAAAGAGGTCAGACAAGATGATCACAGTGCTCCTTTCCGGCCTTGGGATCTATGAATCTGTGTGTTTCCACCCATGTGCCTGCAAGATCCAGCCTGAAGCAGGGTCTGTCTTTGTTACATGTCTGTGGCGCGCCCGGTATCGTGGGGTGCTGATCCTTGATTGGGGTCCAGTTCCCTAATATAAACAACAACAAATTGGATCTGAATTGTGCCTCAAGGACTGAAAGCTAAGTCCAAGGGTCATGGCAGCTGGCAGTGTATCGAGTGAGGGGAGGGGACGAGGCAGGGACAGATGTTGGGTGTGGTTTATTTAACATATCGATCTCAGTTTTAAGGATTTATTTATAAATGTCCCAGCTGATGCCAGAGAGCAGATCAGCTCCTAGAGCACTGTGAGGAAATGCACGTGTGATGGTTGCCGGCTAGGCCGACAGACCAGGGATCAAACTGGGGGTCTCCAGAACTAAAAGCGTGAGGTGCTACAGGTGGATCAAAAAAGCCACGCTCACTAATCGGAGCGGTGGCAGACTCAGAGCGGGACACAGAACATACACTAGCCACTGACGCGGACACAAGAGTGCACGGTACGTCCTGTTACTGACCATAGCTCTATGACAGTGCCGAACTAGCAGCTGTATTCTGCTGTCAGTTATGCCGTCTTGTGGGATTCGAATTCAGCAATTAGGGTCACTCGCTCGCCTCGAGGAAACAAGAACGTCACATTGTGGATCACATCCCAGATGGAGGAAACTCAGCTGCATGTGAAATTGATGTGGCATGAAACAGACCTGTTCCTTTCTGTCGTTTCAGGTTTTCCCCTTCCCAACAGCCCAGGCAGAGGGTTTCTGAAAGCAGGATGAGAAGATGGCAATCCCGCCACATGTACCCGGTCCCGATAATCTCCGCCCGTTCACGCGCGAGTCCCTCGCGGCCATAGAGCAGCGGATTGCTGAAGCGGAACAGCTCAAGATCAAACGGCAGCATGTGGAAGTGCTTGAGGAGGAAGAGCTGAAGGCCAGCAGCGATTTGGAAGCTGGGAAACCCCTCCCGCGCATTTATGGGGATCTGCCTCCTGAACTTATCGGGGTGCCCTTGGAAGACCTAGACCCCTTCTACAACGATAAAAAGGTAGGGAAGTAGGAGCCAGGCCCTGCTGAGAAAGGGCTGAGGGACAGCCACCACCTTCTCAGAGAGATGGGTCCTACCCAGACTGCTCAGGCCAGGGGCTGCCAAACCCCAGTAACTGTTTATCTGTAAAAAATGGAACAGCTTTAACAGGAGAGAGACCCAGATTCAAATCCTGTCTTGGCATTGGGACAATTGAACCGGGGTTTTGCCCATCCCAGCTAAGTGCTCTGCCCATGGAGCTGCCCCCCTCCACCTCCCATTTCGGGGATTTTGCCTGCCTTTTGGTCAAATACTCAAAATCAAAGCGTAAAATGTCAAGCTGGGTTTAAATGAAACATTTAGTTTTAACCCCACTTGCACCTTGGTCTGACTTTTCAATCAGCCCAAAATTTTTGAAAATTTGTTTTTAGTTTGGCCTGAAATGAAACTTCTTAAAAAATTACTTTTCTGAATTGCCAAAAACCCAAAAAATTCATTATTTGCCCAGCTCTCTCCCAAACCCAGAATGGAGCCAAATCCTGCCAATGGGTCTTTGCTGTGGATTAACCCAAAATCCCAGCTCCCAAAACCGCTGAGCTTTGGGACATCCAGAATCCAAACCCGGGTCCAAATCCAAAGTTTGCACCGTGGCCCCATCTCTAAATGGCAGAATCTGATTTGTGCCTTTTCTGCCACATTTCCACCTTCTGGAGCAGGCAAAGTTGATAGGGATTTGCTCTGGGTCACTCCACATAATCTTCAGGGGCTTTCACTAAATCAGTGCCTGGTTTTGGAAATCCAGCTCCTGGGAGTTCCCCACCACATGTTCTGAGCCTGCTACAAGCATCTCACCACTGAGCTCATCCACATTGGTTTTGAAGCTGCCCATTGGGTTGGGGATGCCTCAAAAAAAAAAAAAGCGGGGGCACGAGCTGATGCCATGGAGGGGGTAAGAGTCTGAGTAATGACAAGACTTTGGAAAGAGCTGGTCACAAACCAGAATTTCCTTCTGTGGGAAATCAAGACATTTACCAAAAATGTTGTTCTGGATCAGAACAAAAAGCCAAAACTTCAAAGTTTTCCATGAACCAAAAATTGCAAAAACAATTTCATTTGGGACCACCAAAACATTCCATTTCAATGGTGCTGAAACTTTTCATTTCATTTTGATTTATATTATATAGACACAACATTAAATATATATAAATATAATATTACAATTATTATTTTACTATTGTATAAATCATCTAAATGAAATAAATAAATAGGACACCTTTGAAACAAAATATTGACTTTTTCACATCAAATTTTTTTGTTAAAACCAGCACATTTCCGCAACACATTAGAATTTTGACAAAACTGCATTTTTCAGTGGAAAACTGTTTCGTCAACATTTTTTCAACTTGCTCTAGGTTTGGATGAGCCCTTGTAGGTCTGGCTGCCTCTCCAAGGCTTCACCTCTCCCTCACGCAACCATTCATCCGTGTAACGCCATTAACAGTGATGGGGTCACTGAACGAGCTAATTTAACTATAAACATCCATCTGTGCCAGCATATAATGCTTTTCATTGACTCTATATTATCATGTGGCACCTCTAGAATGGAACTTCTGCCCCCCCCCCCATAACATCCCATCCTACCATGGAGAAGGTGCAGGCTGCGTAGCTCCTCGATTCTCCAGTATTATTAGGTGAAGACTTTCAATGATCATGAGTCAGGACCATTCTGCTTTTCCTGCTGCCCCTGCTCTGCCCATGCTTTCTTGAAAAGAACTACCACCCTAACAGTACTTTCAACTCCTTCCCCATGTCCTGGCACTCACAGAAACATGGCATCCCCCTGACTGACTCAGCCTTGTCAGCTGTGCACGATCAGGGTGTTTTTTCATTATTACACATCTCACACCTCCAATCATTCCCTAGGGAGAGGTGAGACTCTGGACTCCTCCTCTCCCATTTCTGCTGGTTCCAGACCTTTTATGCTGACCTCCGGCTCCTTTCCTTTGCAATACAAGTGTAACCCTTCTGCCCATCAGAGTTGGCAGCAACAAGGGCCGGGTTCAATATCTAGGGGATCCATTCCAATAACACAATGCAAACCAGCTCGAGCCCCCACCCAGTGACCTGGGACAAATATATACCACCCCCACTGGGCGCCTCCCAGAGGCAATACTTCCCCTCTCGCAAGCACCTACTCTGAGTGCAGCAAAAAGCCTTTTAATAAAAGAGAGAAACAATGTGGCATTATGTTGGGGAAACACCACCAACAGGATTCATAACACAACCCATGAGCAAAAAACTCACCCCAAGCAAATTGGGGCATGCCCTTTGCCTTTTGTTCTTGAGTCCAGCAACCCCAAATCACCCAAAGTCCCAAAAGTCCAATGACCCAAAAGTCTCTGTCCCTGGTCAGGGCAGCCCCAGAGTTCAAAAGTTTATCTACAGAGCTTTACCTCCCAACCTGGATGGAGATGGGAGCGGAGGTAAGAGGCACCTTACATGATCTGAAGCTGACCACCCCACAGCTCCATAGGCCTTCGCTTCGCTCCGCCAGCCGCTCCACAAACTCCTTCGCTCAGCTCTGCTCCGCAGCCCACCAGCAGCTCCCACTGTCCCACAAACTGCTCCGCGTCCCACCAGCAGCTCCCACCGTCCCATGAACTGCTCCACCAGCCTGTCCACAAGGCACTCCAGCCGTCCCGCAAACTTCTCCACAATATATCTTCAGGCTCCCCCACTACTTAACACAACGCTCAGTGATTTCAGCTCTTAGTCAGTTCCGCTCTTTGCTGAATTCAGCTTGTAGTAGGGGAGCCTCAGTGCTGGTACACCATTAGCCCAAAGTGAGCTCAGCAGCATGTAACTAGATGCCTAATGAAATCAAAATTAGCTCTGATATTCCACAGTGAAGAGAGGAGGAAGTGCAATTAGCATGTAAGGCCCTCACCAAGGGGCCCATACCACCAAGTATTAATACTTGTCCCCAACCTCTCTCAAGTCACAGAGTTTTGGAACCTTGCCTAGCGAGTGCTACTTAGTTGATGGTGAGTCCCTCCATCATAACAAAAGGCCAAGTACAGTTCCAAGCACAGTTCCCATAATCAGGGTAACAACAATTTATTCTTCCTGCCCCAATAACAGAGACACTGGGGATCCCACAGCAGCCAAAGTGACCATTTGGGCAGCTATGGCCTCATTCTAGGCGGGGTGGGTGTGCCTATGCAAATGAGATTGGCCCCTGAAGTTCTTTTCCATAACTTGCCACACCTCACCACCAGCTGTCAGGGTGGAGCTCACCCTGACACTGCTTACACAAGCATTCTCCAGATTGCCTATTCTCAAAGAGTCTCTGCTCTGCTGTCAGCTTGAACTCTTCAACGACTGCCCCATCTCTGTAATTCTCTTCAACTCTCAACTCAATAAACATGCCAACTAACTTGAGCGTCTCTCCCCCAAAATGGTTCCCACACACTTCATGCTACCGAAACACTCTAGCTAATGCTTCTCATGACCTTGTCTTGGCCATATCTTAACATTGTCCCCCTTCCCTTGATTGTGTCTGTTTGTCTTTAGATGGCAAACTCTGGGGCAGGGATCTACCTTCTTTTCAAATTAGAAAGCACTTAGCACATTGTGGGCACAGCTAGAAATAAACAGTGTTATCAATTTTCTCCTTTGTTTGGCTGCAGAGTATTCTGGCATACAGGGCAGAGCTGTTGCTATTTATATTATCAAGACTCTTTTGCAGAACACTGCAGAATGCAAAAAAAAACCAAAAACAGTTCCCCTGACTCCCTCCCAAGTCCCACTCCTGGCATGGGGTGTGTGCTGTGTGCTGCACTCCCAATTTTTCTCAGGCATTTTAGCCAGAACTTGAGATAGAGACGTTCTGAGGCTCTAACTTATGCCAAAGTCCAAGCAGGCCCCTAGACAGCCTGAAAATATTTGAAGTCCTAATTTGCTAGACTTTCAAAAAATGTGAGTCAGGGCTGAAAAAATCACGAGATTTTAAAAAATATAATAAATCTGGGGTCTTTTTCTTTGCCTTCTGTTTTTTGCGGATTTTGGGGTGCACTTGTGTCACATTTTCAAGCTTTTCTCTGCAGCCATGAGGGCTAGATTCTCCCATGACTGTCTGCAGGAGCTGGGGCTTGAAGTAAAACATAAAATATTGTGAGAGTCACGATAAAGTCATGGTGAATATCATCAGATTTTTCCCACCTAAAGAAAACTGCCCATTTGTCCATCACTTGCTCAATACTACATCTTGCATAAAGGCCTGTTCCACATGCAATCGAATTCATAGGGCAGGTGTAGTTTCTGACAGGTTTCAGAGTAACAGCCGTGTTAGTCTGTATTCGCAAAAAGAAAAGGAGTACTTGTGGCACCTTAGAGACTAACCCATTTAGTTGAGCATGAGCTTTCGTGAGCTACAGCTCACTTCATCGGATGCATACCGTGGAAACTGCAGCAGACTTTATATACACACAGAGAATATGAAACAATACCTCCTCCCACCCCACTGTCCTGCTGGTAATAGCTTATCTAAAGTGATCATCAGGTGGGCCATTTCCAGCACAAATCCAGGTTTTCTCACCCTCCACCCCCCCCCACACAAACTCACTCTCCTGCTGGTGCTAGCCCATCCAAAGTGACAACTCTTTACATAATCAAGTCGGGCTATTTCCTGCACAAAACCTGGATTTGTGCTGGAAATGGCCCACCTGATGATCACTTTAGATAAGCTATTACCAGCAGGACAGTGGGGTGGGAGGAGGTATTGTTTCATATTCTCTGTGTGTATATAAAGTCTGCTGCAGTTTCCACGGTAAACATCTGATGAAGTGAGCTGTAGCTCACGAAAGCTCATGCTCAAATAAATTGGTTAGTCTCTAAGGTGCCACAAGTACTCCTTTTCTTTTTGTAGTTTCTGAGTTACTCATAGAGCTGTAGGATAGTTCTGCTGTTTGCTCGTGGGTGTTCTTAGTGACGCTTAGTGAACTGGATTTTCTGGACATGGT